ACGCCTTGCGCACAGTCACCCATGCCCTTGTCACCTCCCGCCTGGACTACTGCAATGCTCTCTACATGGGGCTCCCCTTGAGGAGCACTCGGAGGCTCCAGTTAGTCCAGAATGCAGCCGCGCGGGCGGTGTTGGGAGGGACTCGTCGCTCCCATGTAACGCCGTTACTGCGCGAGCTGCACTGGCTACCGGTGGCTTTGCGGGTGCGCTTCAAGGTGTTGATTATCGCCTTCAAAGCGCTCCATGGCATCGGACCTGGATATCTCCGAGACCGCCTTCTGCCTCAGATTACCTCCCATCGGCCGGTACGCTCCCACAGAGTGGGTCTCCTCAGGGTGCTGTCAGCCAGACAGTGCCGGCTGGCGACCCCCAGGGGGAGGGCCTTCTCGGTGGGAGCTCCCACCCTATGGAACGAACTACCCCCAGAGATCAGGGTGATCCCGGATCTCCCTTCCTTCCGCCGCGCCCTTAGGACATGGTTATTTCAGCTAGCAGGACTGGCCTAAGGGGTAATTTTTAGCTGGGTTTTAAAATAATTTTTAAAATAACAAAGGCCAAATTAATATTTCCTTTTAATTATGTTTTTAATGATAATATTTTTTGTATTTTTGTATTTGTTTTTATTAGGCTGTTAGCCGCCCTGAGTCCGCAAGGAGAAGGGCGGGGTAAAAATACAATAAATAAATAAATAAATAAATATTTCAAAAACTGCAGAAGCAATATTTAGCATAGCTGAATTTGTCAGAGTAAAAGAGAAGCAGAGAAAAACAAAAGAAGTGTGTGGCTATACTTCCCTTAACCAGCAGATGGCACTCATGCAATTGAAAAAAAAACAACAACCAGATTTGAAAGACCAAGTTCACCAAGTTATTCCTCCTTTTTCAGGCTATTCGTTATCCTCCCCCTCAAAAAATCCCCTCTTCAGGATTTCACTAATTACACCATGACTACAATTTATTGATGATTTTTTTTTGTACTTTTCTAAGATTTCTATGTATACTGGAAAAGGAAAAGAGAAAGTCAGCCTCCAACAGTCCTTTGAGATTACAAGTGTATATAATAATCAAGATCATAGCCAGGAACCGAAAAAGAAAATTTCAGTCTCTCAGTTATTGTTATAGCTATGATTGCCACCTTTCTGGTTAGTAAAAGTAGGACTTTCTATAAGAGTTTAACATGAGACCTATTCTTTCTATTAGTCTGTCACTTATTAGTGGTTAAGGCACCAGATTAGAAACTGTGAGTTCTAGTTCCACTTTAGTCATGAAAGCCAGATGAGTGACTTGGCACCAATCACACTCTCTCTCTCAACCCACCTCATCTCCCAAGGTTTTTGTGGGGAAACAGGAAGAGGAAGGAATATTAGGTATATTCATCACCTTGAATTATTTATGAATATAACAAAGGTGGGATATAGACCAGTGATGGGATTCAGCCAGTTCGCACCACTTCGGCAGAACTGGTAGATAATTTTTTGTTGCCCAGCCCCAGAACGGACTTCCGGAAGCAGCATCCACACAGAGAAAGAGTTGTTCAAATATTTGAATCCCACCACTGATACAGTCAAACAAAACAAACAAACAAATAAGAAGGATTGCCTATCCTACAGAAGTAACTCTGAACAGTATACAAGGGTTAAATACAACAATTTAACTACAACCACAATAGGACACAAACACAACTTGACACACCCCAAAAAAGAGCAGAACAACATCAGAGTTTGCCTAGCCACCCTGCTCAGATCCCTGGAGGAACGTCTAGATCTTTAATGGCTAACATTAAAGATTTGGGGCCACCAAGGTCTCTAAGAGGATACTATTCCACAGGGAAGGTGCACGACTTTGGGGTGCAACAAAATGTCATTTAATAATGGAAGGTGCCTGGAGCATATCCTCCCTGCTGGAATTGGTGAGGTGAGCAGAGATAATAGGAGATGGTGATACTGCATATAGCCTGCCCTAATCCAGGTAGGGCTGGAACCACACCTGAAAGCCCACTGAGGACACATCCCACCTGCCACCAAGCTCTGATATAGTAAAACTTTTTTCCTCTATCAGTGGAGTCTAAACCCAAATTATAAGCCTTATAAGAATAGTGGTGCTATGGTGTGGAAGCACAGTTAGCCAAATAAGGCAGAACTGCAAGACAATAAAGCCAACAGTCTTGAGAATCATGAGTGTCAGATGTGAGTCAATCATACGCTGGTATATCTTGGTTGGAGTTTTGCCATCCAGACTGAAAACAGAAACACAGCTTACTTGGCAAATTGTTGTATATGATTACAACATTGTGTCTTTGCTGCTCCAGATTGTTTGATCTGCCTAATCATTTTGATGCCTGATTAAATGCTGACTATATTTCTAGTTTGATTCCTTCTGTACTGCTGGCGCCAATGCTTAGATTTGATCTGGATTACTTTTGCGGTTAATCCCTTGTGGTGAACTGATTACTATAGTTTGCCAGGGAGTGATACCTATTTTCAATATCCACACAATACAGGAGATTTTTGAATTAACATTCCAGTAAATTTCACCATCCTACTTGGAATTGCCTATATTCTTAAGACACTATCTTAATAATTTTTTGGTTCTTGAATTATTAAGTTTCCACCAGTCCTATACTATAAATCTAGCTGTAGATTACCCACACATAATAATAATTAGCATTCAAGCAGAGACACATCTAGTGCATAACACCCCAGACTTCACAAAAAAAAAATCTAGATAGTAGATGTGGCAGAACCTGGAGACACCAGAACAGAACAGAAAGGACTGGGGTGGGTGGGTCACAAAATACAAAGACCGGCAAATAGAAGTAGAATGACTATGGCAAAAGAAAGCAAAGTTAAGATAGCACCTACAGTAA